AAAATCTGTATTGTTCGATACAGCACTGTTCGATACATGTATTGTTGCACCCCTAATATATTATTATATTACTTAATTTAATATAAAAATATATTTTAAATCAATTGTAACTATTTTAAGATTCATTGCAACAAAATCAATTTAAAAGATATATATTATATATATATAGTTTTTTAAATAATGCAGTTTCCCCTACATTTATCAGGTAGTACTGTATGACAGCTCATGGGCCAGATGTCCAATCCCTGAGTGGTTGGCTTTGAGTGCCCGTGCCCCCCTGAGCAGTTTAGTTGAATAGCCCTGGCATAGGAGGACAAAGTGCGAAAGGGAAGTCATCCACTAATCTGAATGATCCTAAATACAACAGAATACTATTTAGAATTCAATAAGTACACAGAATACARGAAGACAGGGATATATCCTTTTACAGAGACAGTCAAAAAGCTGTAAGGGTCAATTATCACTACATATTACATCATCCTACACAGTAGAGGTGCAGTAGTGTGTTTTCAGTTAAAATTAGTGCTAGGCAGTACATACTTTTATATCACAATATTTGATGGTAGTTTTCTTTTCATCYCAGCTCAAGCTGCTGCTGAACATCAGCTTAGTGGATGTTAAAAGTTATAAATGTTGCTTATTGATCAGCAAACTGCAGACCGATGAAGTTAATTCTCTTGCAACACAGAAATTATTGATTTTTTTTTTTACTGTCCTCTGTTTTGAATTTTCCTTAGTCTTTCTTTCCTTCCCTGGTTGCAGACATTAGTCACACATTTTGGGAAGAATTACACAAAGAAAACAAAGTGTAGATACCATCTAATAATTCACAAAAACGTCTCAAACCGATCATTACATACACAGAGTGTATGACAAACTATTTTCCTTCTGTTCACTTAAGAAGTCAATAATTAGTTCAAACAACAAATGCACAGCAGATACTTGATGATGATAGATATTTTACTTTACACTCGTAATGTATTACTACGGAGCACTCATGACTTCTGTGTTTGAGTGAATGTTTGAAGACAGGACACAGGTGTGGAGCTGTTCTCGCCCAAAAAGGAGAAAGCCTACAGCTGTACGCAGGTCCTCCAGCTCCAAGTTGGACAAAAAGCACTTTTGAAGCTGGGCTTCCACCCGATTTCCACTGGGTCCTCGAGAGCCTTTCAGGAGAACTACAGCAGACTGGTGTAGCAGCCAGTCTGCTAGGTTCCTCATGCCAGCTCTCTCCTGATTGGCCAAAGCCCTCCGTCCCCAGATGCTGAGATGCAGCATGTTAGCTGCWACACGAGCACTGGGGCGCTGCAGAGGAAGAACAACAGGGTCAGTACAGGGTTAATTTCAGAGCAAATAAGAATTTAAAAAATATGGAACTTTTGAAAACTATAAACAAGTTAGAAATGCTACAACATTCAAATGTACGCAATCGATTTTCTATTACAKCCAGACTCAGATGTGTCCCAACAAATACCTGACAAACCACACCACAAGGACCCACTCATAAGCTGCGTTTCCATTGACCATGAAAATGCGCAAATTAGAATTTCGAAGGTAAATTTACTCAATGGAAACACGTCAATTTTGAAAAAAATTAAAATTTTTGACAAAATGTTTTTGCGCTAGGATGAGGTGGTTTTTCGGCCATATCAAAATTAATATACTGTATTTCGCAAAACTGCAATGGGAAACACTTTTTCCACATCATGGGAGTCACGTGATCAACAACCGGCTGTTTCTACTGGCGAAAAAGACGAAGAAGAAGAAGATAACAGGAAGTAAAAGTAGTAGTGAAAATCATCGAAGTAGTAAAAGAAAGTATTAAACACACAGACTAAATTTTCCCAAAAACACAGCATACGTAGCCGCTCCCAAGTACAAGGGGCTTGTCACTCGAAAGCCTCGATAAGACACCGACATCTCCTCTGATGGCTGATGATGAACGCTAGTGCTGTGGTAGCAACATGCTATGTGTTTACATCCATTGCCTCCATGTTTGTAATGACTTATCGCGAGAACAAGCGTATTCACATATGACTTTAATAGCATTTCTTACTTAATGGAAACACAGCAGTTGGAAACTGTGTTTTTACGACATTAACCGAATATTGACAAAGTTTTGCGCACATTTGCAATGGAAACACAGCA